CAATCATCTCAATTGATGCAGAAAAGGCTTTTGACAAAGTCCAACACTCATTCACGTTCAAAGTCCTAGAGAAAATTGGAATAGATAGCCTCTACCTCAATCTGATAAAAGCCAATTATGACAATCCAACTGTTAACATTACAGGATCCTGTTATAAGACATGATCAGGTACAAGACAAGGATGTCCTCTATCACCACTCCTATTCAATATAGTTCTGGAATCATTAGATAGAGACATTAGACAAGATAGAGAAATAAAAGTAATAAGAATAGGTAAAGAAGAACTTAAACTACCACTGTGTGCAGATGATATGATACTCTACTGGGAAGACCCAAAAAATTGTACGAAGAAGCTAGTAGAATTAACACACACATTCATTAGCATAGCAGGATACAAAGTCAATACCTAAAAGTCAATAGCATTCCTCTACACAGATAACAAACATACTGAGAGGGAAATTAGAGAAATAATGCCTTTTACAATATCACTGTGAAAAATGAAATGCTTAGGAATTAATCCAACTAAAGAAGTAAAAGTTCTATTCAGTGAAAATCACAGTACTCTGAAAAAAAGAGTTCATAGACGATTTCAGAAAATGGAAAGATATTCCCTGCTCCTGGATAGGAAGCAGGATGGTAAAGATGACATACTCCCAAAATTGTTCTGCAGATTTAATGCAATTCCTATCAAACTACCACCAACATACCTCCCAGACCTAGAGAAATCATTTCTAAAAGCTAACTTAGAACCAGAAAAAACCTAGAATAGCAAAGCCAAGGCAGGAGGCATTACAAATCCTGATTGAAATTATACTACAAAGCTACTGTGATAAAATTAGCATGGTATTGGTAAAAAAATAGATATGAGGATCAATGGAGTAGATTAGAAGATGCAGAGGACTCTACGAACACACTCAGCCATCTTATCTTCAACAAAGGAGCCAAACATGCTTACTGGAAGAAAGATAGCCTCTTTAACTAATGGTGTTGGAAAATCTGGCTCCACACATGCTGAAAACTCAAACTTGATCCAGGTCTATCATCATGCACTAAACTAAAGTCAAATGGATTAAAGATCTAAACATCTAAAACAGAAACACTAAATCACCTGGAAGAGAAACTAGGTGAAAATCTTGAAGACATAGGGACAGGCAAACAGTTTATGAACAAAAATCATACTGCACAGGAAATATTTGAAAGAATTAACTACTGGTACCTTCTCTTACTGAGAAGTTTCTGCACATCAAAAGAAATTACCGGGGCTGGAGAGATGGCTCAGTGGTCTAAAGCACCTATTTGGAACAAGCTTGGCAAAGCATCAGGGACCGCGGTTCGATCCCCAGCACCACATGCCAGCCAGCCCCGCCCCCTGGTGGGCTGAGCTGGCCACACACACACACCACTCTCTC